TCTCAGATTACTTTACATACTGCAGCAATCAAGATTTCCGCTTGGTCTTGCAAAGGAAATAACGCATGCTAAACAAAATTTTACCTTCTAACCCTTTAAGTGTTGGAAAAATCTAGCAGCTCTCTGGAGTCAGTGGGTTAATACTCTGCGCTCTGGCTTACTGAGAGCCTCTTCTGCCTCATCATGCAGAAATTCAGTTTTATGTACATTCTAAACACATTTACTTACTGCATAAAGATTACAACTCTTTTTCCTGAAAAAAAATTTCTCTGCTAAATTGACAATTTTTTCATATTTTATAAACAAACACTGAGGAATTACCTCAGATACAGCCATGACACAATGCTCTGAAACGTTACTCCAATTATACTATGAAAATAACAACTTTACATACAGCATTCAACAAACTATGGAAAAAACAAAATGAATAGTTTTAGATTTAACTATTTGCAGCAGATATGCTGAAAAAGAAGGAAAGAAGGCAATAACCAGCATGAAATCTCATTTTAAGGATAGGAAGACTTCCTGTGACACATGAGAGGGAATGGAAAGAAAGCTAAGTGTGGGAGCTAAAGACAGACTGGCTTTTCCAGGACCAAAGAACCTTTACGTTCTCACAGTAACACTGGTCTGGGACTAAATCCCATCCCAATTCCATTAGGATTTGAGCCTGGAATAATTATTCCATAAAGTCATGGCAGTATCAATTTAAAAAAAAACTACCTAGGTAACAGAAGTTGCATTTAATACCTTCTACAACACGATTTAAATCACAAGAAAAATACTTACAAGGGTAAGACCCCTATTTCCAAAGTTTTCAGTTCATGAGTTCTTGTAAGCATCCTCAAATTGTCTCAAGCTCCTCTATTGCAAGAAGATTGCAGACAATATCTCAATCGCCATTCCCGTCTTCAGCAGCCTCATTTTTCTTCACATTCTTTATCCGACATAAAATGATGAAGTGCTATGATAGAGTTCATTTTCTGCCCTTGACTTCCTACTAACTCCTAATTTCCTCTTGATCCAACACCACTAGAGGTGTCAAAGTGATCTCACACAGCCATCCTACTTAGCAATGGCCTAACATGCATCCTTATTATGATGGTGCTTCTCTTGAGCTTTCTGGTTGGTGAATAAATCCAGGTCCTCTCTGTAGTTCTAGATATACACACAAGGCCCAATGAATTACTGAAATGCAGATGTAGTACTGAAATGTCAGATGTAGTGAAGTGTAGCTGACTCCATGAGCAAGAAACCACAAGCAACTGTGCAGCACAAATTAATATTTGTCAACAATGTAGATCAACAGGAACTCAGAGCAACAGGAAGGTGTATAAAGAGAGCAACCTGTGTCGCAACTTGAAATAGGACTTGCAATCCAGTGCAAAATGTCCTTGTCCACATTAAGTCACAAACAGTGAGCAGTCACGTGGTATATCTTATCTCATTAATAAAAATGCCTCTGGAATTTCATCTATATAAACGAGATTCATTTCAACACAAACTAATATGCTACAAAGACACAGAGCTTTCAGGAAAACTGCCCTGACAGTAATTAGCATTTGTTCTAACAACGCATTATAACAGTGCTATGTGATGTAGGAGGTTAGACATAAGCACGAAATAGTTTTCCTGTACCACTAGTGTTTGAAATTCCAAAGAAGCTGTTACATTATGGCAGAATAAGCTTACAGATCTCTAGCATTTTTCATGGAGAAAAAAAAAAAAGAGTTGAGATTGACACACACAATCACCTGGTATGAGAAACCTGAGGTTTAAATTCCTCCTCCTCCTAATTTAGACCAGAAATCCTAATCTGAATCTACTGTATTTCCAGCAGGGACTGGTACCTACCCCCTCCGAAATTTTCTTTAATTGCGGTTGTGCCTCTCCTGGCTTGGTTTGACAACCAAGTTTTATCTTGCTGAAAACGTTACAGTATTCTGCTTTTATTGCAGAGTGGGGAACTAATGAGACATTACCAATTATACTTGCATCATACTTACACTGCTGGAAAGGTTGAAAGAATGCTCTCAATATTTAACATATTCAATTCCTACATTCAGTCACTCAACCTATTCTAAATGTGTGAACCTATGTGCTAAAATTAGGTATCTCAATCCATACTAAACCATCAAAACATCTATGTCTTTGGTCCTTATAAAAAGACCCACAAACCTACTTTTTGGCATTCAGATTTGAATGAAAACAAAATGTTACTGGGGAAGTAAATTATCACTTCCATACATGTCATTCGTATCTTCAAAAGCTCTTTAACAACAGTTTTCCAAATTTTTTTTTTGATGTCTTTAGCAGAGCAGAAAGACTCCCATCACTAGAATAAATGTCACACACTTGTTATGCAAGATTAAGGGCTCTCTCAGTTGTCGTAAAGCTAAAATAAACATGGCTTTCCTCCCATCAAAATATTTGACAAAACTGCAACTGTGTGTAACCATTATCAGGATATATCATCAGATAATCTAATCAGCACAGATTTATTACTAATGGCATTGTTAATAATTTATTATTTTTAGCAGTAACTTATTATTACTCTCTAATAATCCTTTAGAATTTTTTTTAATTATAGAAAGAACCTAAAATAAAAGGCATCATCACTTTCAGTGGCATCAGAACTGCAACACAAAGGTTTCAGTTAAATTGAGAAAAATACAAAAATCAATAGTTAAAAGAAAGGAATAAATAAAGCAATTTAAGGTACAAATCAATATTCACTTAAAATCAGAGCAAGAAATAAGATCTAGAGTAAAAATCTAAGGTAAATACAGAGTATTACTAGCGTAAATATTAAATACACTAATAGCTTAAACATTTTTGTTAGGAAACTTCTGCAATTCTGTGTTTATTTCTATCTAAATCACTTAAGCACAATTCATAGTCATCCATCTATAATTTTATTACAAATCTCAGGATTTTTGAGGTACTTCATGAATTTAATGTCCCCATTTCAAGTTTAAGTAAAATGCGCACTCTTATTCATTCTAACTCGAATGCATCATTCAGTGTAACTTCAATATATTAGAAAGACTCAAATCAAAAAGCTATTTAAAGACAAGTCTTAGAAAGTTTTTATATGTCTCTGGGGGAAATAACTGCTGTTAGCACTTAGCCAGGACCACTAGTATATTGAAGAAAATACCTTCACTTCGTTATTTTTCTTATTATATTGATATTAGCTTTTAAATGAGCTTTTAGAATACAGGTTTCTGAGTTTCATTCATTTTCAGTGGTAAAATATCTTTTACGGTTGTTAGGTTTTGAGTTTTGCCTTTCTTCACCAGACACTTACTGGAACAGCTATGCTCTCTGATACAAAAATACTGACAAACACATTAACAATCACCAGAGTCTCCAAATGTAAGTTGGTGGTAAAGACAAACTTATTTACCATATTAATTAAATGGTCTATTTAACATAGAATATCAATTCTCTAATCACATCTCATTTAAACTTCTTATTTCAATTAACAACCCTAAAGTCTACTAGAGACCCTACTGTTCTAGGATCATTAAAGAACATTTTCATTATCTATCAAATGAGGGAGTAAAAGGCAGAAACTGCAAGTACTCTCAGGAGTAGGCCTCTACCCTATTTAAGAGATGATTAGGGAGAAAGCAGCAGTAGTTCTCATTAGTTGCTTAGCAATGAAATGTCCCCATATGAAACAAGAAACGAACAAAGCAACAGAGGTGTTGCCATGCAAATGAGTAAATGGATAGTCTATCATCCACTCAAGGATAATCTGTCCTTCATTAAATCTAATCCATCTGGATTAAGACACCAATGGGTATCTTGCATAGAGAAGGTAGGAAGATTCCATTACATACAGCCTCACTGTAGTAGCCAGACAACGTGTTGCTCGAGTTTACATATAAGCATTGTGTATTCTCACTGTATGTGTGCATGACAAATAGAAATACAAGGAAAACAGTTTTAATTCAAGCCAGATTAACATTGTCATTTTTACGGTTTATCCTTACCTTTTATATCCATAGTTCTATCCAAATTATTAATGAATTATTGTTAATGATAAGCCATACTTCTAATGTTTATAAGACTTAAATACTAATATCTAAATTTAAGATATGAATGATATTCTAGTAAGACATGAGCATTTAACCAATATCAGAGTTTGCCAAATAAAAAAAGTTTCCAAAAAGTATATTCACATATAAGGCCACAAATGCAACAGAAATACAGCTGTTTACACTACTATTGTCAGTAATGTTGTGAGCCCCAGAAAAGCAGAGCACTTAACCAGAGAAATTTGATTACTGCTGCCTTAATTTTCAGACCCTAATTCCACGTTGCCATTCTTTCAGCCACAGATCCAGTTTAATAGGTTCCTTCAACTTTAATTTCCCCGCCACTCATTTAAAAGGTTTCCTTGTTTCATGGAGGGGGGGGGTGTTCTTGTTTTGGTGTGAGTTTTTTTGTTGTTGTTTGGTTGTTTGGTTGGTTGTTTGTTTTTTTAAAACACCTGCTCATTTCATATGTATAATTTAAAGTTTTCACAAAAACTGTGAATTAGAAGAGAGAGAGGGAGAAAGGGAGAATAAAACCTCCTGATGCTTTTTTCTTCATAGGTGTGGTGAACACTTCTTAACTAGAAATCAAGATGAAAGCAAATGCTAGATTGTGCTTCTTTCCCCTGCTTTCAGATCTGACAAATGAGAATGCTGTCTGCAACTTGTACAGAGGGTTTTGGTTGGTTGGGTTTTGTTGGGGGAGGAGGTTGTTTGGAATAAAAACCTAAAAAGGTTCCTGAACTCCACTGACTACTTAAACAAAGTCTTATACATACTTCTCAGTATGTATTTAAATAGACTATACAGATTTATAATTACAAAAATTTATTATAAGATTCATGTATCAAATTATGCTTTGATTAGCTAATCCAAATCGTTATTCAGATTAAAATGAAGATGCTGTTCCAAAACGAGTACCAATTCATAATTCAGTATGAAGACAAATCTTACCTATATATTCACAAACGAAGACTACAAAAAAAGGAGTAACAAGATCATTTATGCCCTGAACATATCCACTGGCTGGATGACGTATTGCCCAGATAAACAAAATTCTTTCAAAGATCTGAAAAAGAGTTAAAGAAACTATCAGGTAATTTATCAAGTGAGGAGCACATTTTAAACAAGACACTTGAAAATTATGCAAGGACAAATTTAATATCACAGTTACTAGCATAAAATACGCATATAAAAGTATAAATGAACACTGGCATTCATAATTAACTTCCAATGCTAAGTAAGCTTCTCAGTTCTTCAAAAGGAAGCATATTAGCACTTGTTAAAACCGATCTAGTATATAATTCAGTTACAGTAGTTACAACAAAGTAGCACTTATTCATCGGAGCTTTTCCAATAATATAAAATTCCTCTTTCCTCAAGAGACAGAAATATTAAGTCATCTTCCCATGATTTTTCACCTCTTTGAAAGAAGTATTTTGTCAATGTAGTATTCTATTTATTCCTAAATAACAGGAAGTACTTCATATAGCTTAGATTTTTTTTAATAAGATGCCCATAAAAAGAGATTCCGTAACAGTTAAGCTAACCCCGCAATGTGGGGTTTTAGACTTCAGAAGCATGTATACTGGTTAATAAAAAATCTGAAAAAAAAAACAGGAAATGTAGAAATAAGGCAACCGCCTGCCGTATCACATAACTTCACCCCCTCAACTCTGTAAACTGTACCTTGCTTAAAATCTGCAAAAGTTCCTAAGGCCACAACATATATGATCATGGGAAGGACAGCATGAGAAGAGTATGGAACAGGGAAATCACAAAACTTATCTCTGACACAATTTAGGTCTGTGACAAGCTGTATTTCCTCTCAATTATTTGCTTCTGAACGTGCTACATGTCTTTAAAATGTTGCAAATAAACAGCAGAGTGAAAGCTGCTGTGTGCTTTGCCCTAATTACAGGTAGTCAATCAGGTATAATCTTCTGAAGCAAAAGAAC